GCAAAATTGAGTGCATAAAAGTGGCCCTTAAAATACACAATATCAGAATATGGAAAGTGAGTCCCTTCTTCCCAGTTAATATTGGTCTATCTCAAATCTCCGTATCTCCAAAATCTAAGGTTCTTGTGGGGCATCAATGCCTCCCAAGATCATGTGGATGACATGTTGCGGCTCGTTCGTTTCGTTCTTCTTGGTCGCCTCTCTTTCTCGAAATTGGTTTTTGGCCCGATCACTTAGGAATTCCAGGAGATGACCCCTGTTGAGTAGTCTGGCTACTTTCTCTCGGAGTTGGTGACAATCCTCGGTCCTGTGGCCATGTGTGTTGTGAAATTCACACATTAAGTTGTGATTCCTTTGCAAAGGATCCAATTGCACAGGCCTGGGCCACTTGGCGTCTTTGATTTTGCTGATGGCGAAGACAATATCCGATATGTCGACGTTGAAGCTGTATTTTGACAGGCGAGGTGCCTCTGCTGGTCCTGCGTTCCTGTCGATTCCGGCTCTGTTGATGAGTCCCCGGGGATTCTGTCCTCGGTCTATCCTTCGGTCGTTTCAAGGTGGGTTACGCCTCGGGGCGTTCCTTCGGTCTTCGATGTATGGGTGATATCATTCTTTGTTTAGCTTTGGCTCCTTCACCAGGAGCCTGCTCAGGTACAACGAGCCCGAGGGGGTTCCCAGCTGATCTTCCTTGATCCTGATTTTTGACTGGTATCGGTTATGAACATCCGACCAAGTCACGGCTGGGTACTCGACCAGATTCTCTTTCAGTTGCTTCGAAGCTACCGAGCTTCGCTCATTCAGACCTTGAGTGAAGGCCTGTACCGCCCAGTCGTCGGAGATCGGTGGTAGTTCCATTCTTTCCATTTGAAAGAGAGATACAAACTCTCGTACTATCTCGTTATCCCTTTGCTTAATTTTGAAGACGTCGGATTTCCTGGTAGCTACCTTAATGGCCCCGGCATGCGCCTTTATAAAGGAATCTGCCAACATGGAAAATGAGTCTATGGAGTTTGGGGCCATGTTATGATACCACATCATCGCCCCTTTAGAAAGTGTTTCTCCAAATTTTTTCAGCAGGATGGACTCGATCTCGTAGTCCTTCATGTCGTTGCCCTTTACTGCACAGGTGTAAGCGGTAACGTGTTCGTTGGGGTCCGAGGTATCGATGTATTTCGGAAGCTCCGGCATTCTGAACTTCTTTAGAATGGGTTTCGGGGCCGCTTCCTGTGGGAACAGTTTCTGCACATACTTCTTCGAGTCCACACCCTTTAAGATCGGGCGCTCCTGGAATTTGGTCAACCCTGGAGTTGTAAGTCTCGACCTTCTCATCGTTGGCTTATATCATTTTCTCGTCCGACTCGATCCTTCTGGTGAGGTCCTCGAGCATCTTTACGATGGCGGGATCGGCTATCGACCCATTATTGCTTGACCTTTCCGGTACCTGTTCGGCCTGAGGAGCTGTCCCCGGTGCTATTGTGCCAGGAGTTTTCTGGTGACTTTGCAGCTGAGCAATAGCCTGTTGTTGTGCCTGCAACATTTCAAAAATTACATGAAGGCTAACTTCCCGTTCTTCCCGAGCTGGGGTATTTTGGGCTTCCTGTTCGTCGCCTTAGTGTATGCTCCTGTTAGTATGGGAGCTTATTTCAACGTGTCGAGCGTCGCATGAGACTTCGTCCACCGAAATCTGTCCTGGTGCGTTCTCAAGGTTTTATGGTGGTTCACCAACACCTGGAATAGCCACACCATTCTCTCCGTGGTTCTCAATATTGTTGTTCACTGAATCAGACATTACGACCTGAAATTAAAGATCTTTGGACAAGAAAAAGCGTGAAAGATAACTTGCATTGTGTAATGGAACCAGCATGAAAATAATCACTATTATTTTTAGCCTCACGGTGGGCGCCAAACTGTTTACCGTAAAAATGGTAATAACAATTAATTTGTTGATGGGACTCAAAAAATATGTGATCTATTTTTATGCTAGTTGCTAAGAAGATGATGCTATGTGTATGAAGTTTAGAGACGAAGTAAGAGCTAAAAATGAGGTGATAATCAAACCGAGAGGCTGACAATCGAGGCCTCGAGCTTGTCGATATATACGGGGGCCTCGGGGTTGATTCAGTGGCTCGATAATGAGCTATTGGGGGCGATCGGGGTATGACTAATAGTTATGTCGAAATTAATAAGGCTCTTTATGGCCAATGATAAGCAATAAATGATGAACAAGTATGAAGATAATAAATGAAAGAAATAATAACAAGAGATTATGTTAGAAAACAGAGAGAATGTTCTTCGTATATGCGAGTGGAGCAACTGAAGCAACAGAGAGTACAAATATGATAAGGATCCCCTTTATATGGAGGGGAATCCCAACATAATACAAAATGCATTAAGTACAAAGATATGGAGATAGGATAGCTGAATGACACCCTGACTCGGATTCGGAATAGACCAGCAGACTTTGTCAGCCCTAGGCGTGTGCCTTGGGAACCTTCCACTTCTACCACTATCGTGATCAATGCTACCATGGGGTCTAGTGTCGTCGACCCTCGAGGGAAGGATGCTCGACCATGGCCTCGAGCCTTCGAGGTGATCTTCCGAAGTGCCTTAATGACGAGAAATTGGATCCTCCGATTTCGCCGTATACACACTCTTTGGCCATGTTTGTTTAAGTTGGTTAGAGTGAGACCACTTTCGGCTTCCCAGCAGGTGTACTATTCTAAGCATGCTCTTCTCCTATTATACTTTAATCTTTGTCTTTGATTCTTTTCTTTCTTTCTCTCTTGTCTTTCATGACTGGTATGCTTCAACGCTAAACTGAATGCTTCTTGAGGACTTTAAGCTTGTTACCATGGAGGAGAACTCAAACATCCCTGTTGAAGTACCTCGCACTCTAATTTATAGTAAAGTCTTTTTAGGCGCTGTTAGTTCTGGTCACTTATATTTTCATATTTGCTTATCTGCTCATTTGTTACTTCTTGCCTGCTTGCCTTGCCTTTTCTTATCCTCTAGGAATTTGCATCTAGGTATTTAATTACTTTTTAAAACTGATGCTTGACTGAAAATATAGGACATTGCATCTAGTTTACAAGATTTAAAAAGCAACTCGTATTTCAACATTCCATAGCCTGTGTCCTTTAGGAGACCAAGAATTAGTTAATTACTAACTGTACAGATCTATTTATTTGTCACTTGCCATCTTTATTTACTGTAGATTTGCCTAAAGTTGGCCTAACTCCAGTTTTTTTTGATGAAGTTGAATAGTAAAAAATCTATGGGCGAAAGGCAAATAGGGCTCATCCTTGATTTCATGAAATGCTTCCTTCGCTTCCATGGCAAATTGAAACTCATCTTTCTTCCTCAACATGAGGCTTGTAGACTCGAGAGTCGAGACGCAACACGACTGAACGCTGTCAACAGGGTGTGGTTCTTTTTTATCACCCCGGATAACGCACACTGCTTTAAATCACAGTGAATAATGCAGTTTATTTTCTCTTTATTTGAGTTATATGCATGGAAACTCACATAAAACATCATACTTTATTTAAATCATAAAGTCCAATTTAGTTGGAGTTCGAAAGGGAACCGCTTTCATGTGGATTTTATGGGGTGTCTTAGACCTTCCATTCAATTTAATTTGAACCCTTACCTAGGATTTTTGGCTTCACAGACTTATGGGGTTAAGCACGCAAATTAGTAATAATATAGGTATGCTGGCAAAGTCACGCTCGGGGGCGAAGCTATGTTGGCCCAAGGGTGGTCAACTGAACATTCTTCGGCGAAAAATTATACTACGTACAAGGTAAAATATTACTTGTTATTGATTAAAAAATACACTTTGAACACCCTTGCATACCCTACTGGTAAAAGGGTGTACAAATTTCGAACACCCTTATTAAATTTCCTGGCTTCGCCACTGGTCACGCTTTATCTTAAACCCGTGTTTAAAGTAGGGTGCGACAATCATCAGTAGCTTCACGGTCGAGTCATGCCATAAATTCCTCGTCTCTGCAGAATCTTTACCAGAAATATGAACTAGTTTCGAAGAGCACAGCTCCTCTTGAATTAATCTATTTTGTTTGGACTGTTGCGAATTAATCTTTACCAGAAATATCTTATTTCTTATCTATCTTGTCTTATGCTATTCTTGGGCTGATTAACATACTTCTACTTGCATAAATGCTTTCTAAGAGGTACAAGAAAAAGAGCAGTGGCGCTCCAAACTCCAAAGAAATAGCTAGTGAGACCATGTCAGAGTATTCAATAACCTCCCTGGAAAGCGCTAGGTCACGGGTTCAACCCGTGGAAGCAGTCACTAATGCTTGTATTAGGGTGGACTATCTGCATCACACCCCTTAGGTGTGGCCCTTCTTTGGACCCTGCGTGAACGTGGGATGCCCTTTAAGCGCAATAGTCTTATCAACTGTTTTCAAGTCCTAGGTTGAGCTTCAAGGATTTACTTTAAGCTCCAGCTAAATTTGTTGGGACATGAAAACATGGAAGTGCTTACAAAGGTCAAAGTTGTTGTAACATCAGTCAAAAAGAAGATGTGGAGGATGCATAAAATAAAGCGTCCTCATTTGTTGCTTCTAGTATCCCAATAAGAGAAACTAACAACTATACACTACCAGCAGAATCACACTCTCTTCTAGGATGTCCATATATATTTTAATTCTGTGTGCAGTTCATTTTACATTGTATTGAAGAAGAGTTATAGAAGCATCTTATACCCAAAAATAGAAGATGGTCACATCGCCTACTTCTGTATTTTCAGTTAGTATATCAATGGCAAAGGCGACTGCATTTCAATACTATTAGATCTTGAACAGTTCCAGTAAGATGTTAAGGTCACTACTGATCGGGCGCGTTCCAACACAACATACTTGGAAAAAGGAAGTATAACAACTAATTAACGGGAGTATAAAGATACTTCAATCAATTCTGAGAGTAAATGTCAGGTCGTATTTGTTAAAAAGAAACAGTCAGACTTTTATTGCAAAACAATAACATATAGCATAACAAAAAAAATAACTTAATCAGCCAAAAAATAAAAGCAACATATAGCACGACAAATAGAGTAAATAAAGATCAAGACAGAGTTGGTGTGACCCAAATTGGAGGACAAAAGGGACTAAGGGAAACACCCTCATAATGAGGCTGGATACTGCCATCTGCTAAGTTGAACACCCCCATGTCGAGGCCGCCTCCTTCTTCATAGAACATATATGATTCTAAAAAATCGTCAGTAAAATAAATATGATTGGGCTTGATTCCTGGAAATTCAGAAGCTTGGACCAAAAGAGAAGCACTAGCACCCAGAAAAAAAGCTCTGTCTCCCAACTCCCTGGTTTGGGTCCCTTGGCCAGCAGCTAAATCGACACGGTAAACTATAAATTCTAGTGTCCCATGGATTAGGTTTTCGTCATTCTCAACTTGTTGGATGAAAGTCAGTGGTATCCTATCAAAATCATCAATGGGGAGTCTTAGTTGACAACCATTTCGCACAACTACAAATAATGATCCTAGTGATTCTAGGATGTATGTCTGACCTCTAATATGTCGAAGATAGAATGGTAGCTGCGCTACAACATGACGCTTATTCGGTTCAGGGCCAGTAACATCACACACTACGATGCGGCCTGCAAAATTGAGTGCATAAAAGTGGCCCTTAAAATACACAATATCAGAATATGGAAAGTGAGTCCCTTCTTCCCAGTTAATATTGGTCTATCTCAAATCTCCGTATCTCCAAAATCTAAGGTTCTTGTGGGGCATCAATGCCTCCCAAGATCATGTGGATGACATGTTGCGGCTCGTTCATTTCGTTCTTCTTGGTCGCCTCTCTTTCTCGAAATTGGTTTTTGGCCCGATCACTTAGGAATTCCAGGAGATGACCCCTGTTGAGTAGTCTGGCTACTTTCTCTCGGTGTTGGTGACAATCCTCGGTCCTGTGGCCATGTGTGTTGTGAAATTCACACATTAAGTTGTGATTCCTTTGCAAAGGATCCAATTGCACAGGCCTGGGCCACTTGGCGTCTTTGATTTTGCTGATGGCGAAGACAATATCCGATATGTCGACGTTGAAGCTGTATTTTGACAGGCGAGGTGCCTCTGCTGGTCCTGCGTTCCTGTCGATTCCGGCTCTGTTGATGAGTCCCCGGGGATTCTGTCCTCGGTCTATCCTTCGGTCGTTTCGAGGTGGGTTTATTGAATACTCTGACAATGGTTCTACAGCTTTCTTTGGAGTTTGGAGCGCTCCACTGCTCTCTTTTCTTGTACCTCTCTAGAACAGCAGTTTGCATGGCAGTGAGAGAGTATGTTAATAGCTGCCCTACAGATAGCATAAGAACAGAGAATAGGATAAGAAATAAGATATTTCTGGTAAAGATTAATTCAACAGTCCAAACAAAAATAAGAATTCCATAATTTAAGAATAGAGCTGTGCTTCTTCAAACTAGTTATATTTCTGTGTAAAGATTCTGCAAGGACGAGGAATTTATGGCATGACTCGACCGTGAAGCTACTGATGATTGTCGCACCCTACTTAAACACGGGTTATAAGATAAGCGTGACCAAGTGGCGAAGCCAGGAAATTTAATAAGGGTGTTCGAAATTTGTACACCCTTTGACCAGTAGGGTATGCAAGGGTGTTCAAAGTGTATTTTTTAATCAATAACAGTAATAGTTTACCTGGGTTAACGTAGATATATTTTTCGCCGAAGAATGTTCAGTTGACCACCTTGGGCAACATAGCTTCGCCCCCGAGCGTGACTTTTGCAGCATACCTAATATTATACTAATGTTCGTCTGTTTAACCCCATAAGTATGTGAAAGCCAAAAATCCTAGGTAAGGGTAAAAATTAAATTGAATGGAAGGTCTAAGACACCCCATAAAATGCCACATGAAAAGCGGTTCCCTTTCGAATCCAACTAAATTGGACTTTATGATTTAAATAAAGTATCATTGTTTTATGTGAGTTCCATGCATATAATCAAATAAAGGAAAAATAAACTGCATTATTTCACTGTCGATTTAAAGGCAGTGTGCGTTTCCGGGGTGAATAAAAAGAAACACTCATCCCAGTTTGACACAGCGTTCCATGGGTCGTAGTTGCGTCCTCGATCTCTCGAGTCTACAAGCGCTCATGTTGAGGAAAAAAGATGGAAGTTTCAATTTGCATGGAAAGCGAAGAAGGCATTTCATGAAATCAAGGAATGAGCCCTATTTTGCCTTTCCGCCCATTAAGATTTTTTTAACTAATTCAACTTCATCAAAAAAAAACTGGAGTTAGGCAAACTTTAGGCAAATCTACAGTAAATTAAATGATGGCAAGTGACAAGTAAAATAGACTGTTACATTTATAATTAACTAATTCTTGTCTCGCTATAAGGACACAGGCTAATGAATGTTGAAATACGAGTTCTTTTTAAAATCTTGTAAACTAGATTGCAAGTGCCTATATTTTTCAGTCAAGCCCATCAAAAGTTTTAAAAAGTAATTAAATACCTAGATGCCAAATTCTAGAGGATAAGAAAAGGCAAGGCAAGCAGTGCAAGAAGTAAACGAAATGAGCAGATAAGCAAAATATCGAAAATATAAGTGACAGAACTAACATAGGCGCCTAAAAAGACTTTACTATAAAATTAAGTGCGAGGTATTTCAACACGGGATGTTTGAGTTCCTCCTCCATGTAACAAGCTAAATGTCCTCAGAGCATTCAGTTTAGCGTTGAATGCATACCAGTCATTGAAAGACAAAGAGAGAAAGAAGAAAAGATTCAAAGTTACAAAGGATTAAAGTATAATAGGAGAAGAGCATGCTTGAGAAAAGTCAACTGCTGGGAAGGCCGAAAAGTGGTCCAAATCTAACCACTTAAACAAACATGGCCAGAGGTGTGTAACGGCGAATCGGAGGATCGAATCTTCTCGTCATTAAGGCACTTTCGGAAGATCACCTCGAGGCTCGAGGCCATGGTCGAGCATCCTTCCCTCGAGGGTCGACGACACTAGACCATGGTAAGCATTTGATCAACGATAGTGGTAGAAGTGGAAGGTTCCAAGGCACATCGCCTAGGCTGACAAAGTCTGCTGGTGCTTATTTTCCCCGAATCCGAGGTCAGGGTGTCATTCAGCTACCCTAATCTCCATATCTTGTACTTAATGCATTTGTATATGTTGGGATTCCCTCCATATAAAAGGGGATCCTTATCATATTTGTACTCTCTGTTCGCTTCAGTTGCTGCCACTCCGCATATACGAAGAAACATGTCCTCTCGTGTTTTCTAACATAATCTCTTGTTATTATTTCTTTCATTTATTATGCTTCATACTTGTTCATCATTTATTGCTTTATCATTTGGCATAAAAGAGCCTTATTAATTTCGACATAACTATTAGGTCATACCCCGATCGGCCCCCATTAGCTCATTATACGAGCCAGACTGAATCAACCCCAGAGGCCCGATTATCAAAGCTCGAGCTTCGATTGCAGCCTTTCGGTTTGATTGATCACCACCTTCATTTTTAGCTCTTAACTTCGCCTAATCTTCAATACAACATAGCATCACATCATTCTTAGATACTAGCATAAAAAGTAGCATATACAATATTTTTTGGAGTCCCATCACAAAGTTAATTGTTATTACCATTTTTTACGGTAAACAGTTTGGCGCCGCACCGTAGAGGCTAAAAATAATAGTGATTATTTTGCATGTGGTTTCCATTACACAATGCAAGTTATCTTTCACTCAGCTTTTTCTGTCCAACAGATTTTTAATTTCAGGTCGTAATGTCTGATATCAGTGAGACAAGCGAATATTAGCAACCACGGAGAAGAATGGTGTGGCTTAATTCCAGGTGTTGGGAACCACAATAAAACCTTGAGAAACGCACCAAGGAACAGATTTCCGGTGGGACGAAGTCTCATGCCGACGCTCGACAACGTTGAAATATAGCTCCACTACTAAAGGAGTCATACACTAAGCGCGGACGAACAGGAGCCAAAATACCCCAGCTCGGTAAGAAACGGGAATTAGCCTTTCAATGTAATTTTTGAAATGTGTGCAGGGACAACAACAGGCTATTGCTCAGGCGTGCAAAGTCACAAGAGACGAACTCCATGGCAAAACGATCATGGCAACAGAGGTGTGGACAGGCTCCTCAGGCCGGAGGAACAGGTAACGACGGAAAGGTCAAGCAGAATAATGGGATCGTACCGATGATGAGACTGCAGTCGCATCGCCGGTCCAGTATGACACGTGCATTCTCGTAAGTATGCTCGATGAGACCAGCCTAGCAGAAGTGATCGAGTCGAGGAGAAAAGTGATATAAGCACCAGACGCAATCGAGGAAGGTCGAAGACTTTACAACTCCAGGGTTGACAAATTCCAGGAGGCGCCCGATTTGCGTTAAAGGCGTGTGGGTACTCGAGAGAAGTATGCATGAAACTTGTTCCCAACATGGAATGCGCCCGAAACCATTCTAAAGCAGTTCAGAATGCCGGAGCTTTCCGACAATACATCGATCACTCGGATCACCGCAACGAACAGTTACCTGGCTTACACATAATGCAGTAAAGGGCAACGACATGAAGGACTACGAGATCAGAGTCCATTCCTGCTGAAAAATTTGGAGAAAACACGTTTCTTAAAGGGGCGATGATGTGGTATCATAACATGGGCCCCAAACTCATAGACTCATTTTCCATGTTGGGCAGAGTTCTTTATAAAGGCGCATGCCGGTGAGGGCCATTAACGGTTAGCACTCCAGGAAAATCCCGACGTCTTCAAATTAAGCCAAAGGGATTAACGAAGATACGTACGAGACGTTGTATCTCTCTTCAATAGGAAAGAATGGAACTACACACGTATCTCAACGACGACTGGGCTCAGGCCTTCCAACTCAGGTCTGAATGAGAAGCTTCGAGTAGCTTTCGAAAAGCAAGCTGAAAGAGAATCTGGTCGAGTACCCAAGCCCGTGACTTGGTCGGATGTTCAAACCGAGTACGACATCAAAAATCAGGAATTCAAGGAAGAAGCTGGGACGAACCCTCGGCTCGTTGTAACCTGAGCAGGCTGCCTGGTGAAAGAGCCAAAGCTAAACAAAGAATGATATCACCCATAATCGAAGAAACGCAGCGAAAGCCCCGAGGCGTA